AGTGTGGAGAACTCTTAAAAAACTACAAATGAACCTACCATTTGACCCAGTTATACCACTCCTTGGCATATACCCAAAGAACTTGTCCTATTGCAGAGACACTTGTACATCCATGTTTGTTGCTGCTCTTTTCGTAATTACTTTGTTTTTATTTTATGTGCGTTAGTGTTTTGCCTGAATATTTGTAAGTGTATCCATGTCGTGCAGTGCCCACAAAGTCCAGAAGAGGGGGTTGAATCCCCTGGAACTGGAGTTACAGATGGAGTTAGCTGCTGTATGGGTGTTGGGAACTGAATCCGGGGCTTCTGGAAGAGCAGCCTGCCAGTCCTCTTATCAGTGAGCCATCTGTCCAGCCCCATCTCCATAGCTAAATTGTTGATTCAGCCTGCATACCCATCAACAGATGAATGGATAAAGAAAATGTGGTATATATACATATGGAATTTTTCTTAGCCAGAAAGAAGAAGTTATGTCATTTGCCAGAAAATAGATGGGAATTGGAGATCATGTTAAATGAGATAAATCAGTCCCACAAAGACAAGTATTGCATTTCCCCCTCCATATATGGAAGTTAAGAAAAAGAAAAGAACAGCATTTACCTAAAAGTGGAACTTCTAGGAACAGGAAAGAGAAGAGAGCAAAAGAGAAGCAAAAGAAAAAAAAAGCAAAAGAGAAGGTAGAAGGGAAGACTGATAGAGCACTGAATATGGTTAAAATGCACTATATTGATATATGAAAGGTAGAAGGGAAGACTGATAGAGCACTGAATATGGTTAAAATGCACTATATTGATATATGAAAGGTAGAAGGGAAGACTGATAGAGCACTGAATATGCTTAAAATGCACTATATTGATATATGAAAATCTAATGCAGTAAGTTCATACAATTAATGTATATTAATAAAATTTAAGGTTTACACACACAATTGGAAGTTTAACATAAGAAAAATCACCTTTTCTGGAGAGATTTCACTGTATCAAATTCAGCAACTATGTTTCAGATATAGGATGGGTCAGTTCTTTTGTGTTTATGAAAATACTCTTATAAGTTTGGCTTCTTTAGTAGTCTACAAGATAAGCTTCCTCAGGCAAAGCATTTCCTCAACATGGACACACTTTCCAAAGGGAAGGCTATGCATGAGCAGTGAAGGAGACAAGGGGTAGGATATCTGTAGTATGACACTAGGCTTGTGTATGGTGAAGATATTATGTCCTTCATAGGGTAGTCTTCCCTCAGGATCTGGAAATGTGTAGTAAGAGATATGAGTGTAACTTCATATGAGGAAGTTGGGATTTTCTTTCTGGTAGTAGTATGGAGAAACTGAGTAAAGGGGTATCCTCATACGTTTTGTGAGAGTCAATGAAAAGGGATGATTCTGATCCCGAGAGAGTGAGGCTATAAATGAGGAGATACTCAAGAATAACATTTACCTCAGAATGCTGTGGAATTCTTCCTTTCAGGTCTTTGGCTGTTGCATTTTGGGCTTTGGAATCTACCTCCTGGTCCACAACACCTTTGGAGTGCTCTTCCATAAACTCCCCTTCCTGACGCTGGGCAATGTTTTTGTCATCGTGGGCTCCATTATCATGGTGGTTGCTTTCCTGGGATGCATGGGCTCAATCAAGGAGAATAAGTGCCTGCTTATGTCGGTGAGTTCTTTCAGCAGATGTGGTGCCTGAGCTGGGGGAGATGATACCTCAAGCCCATGGTAATATGTTTCTTTGTAGATCATCTTTGTGTGATAATCCACAATCAAGAGCAGAGACAGCATAAACACATGGATCTTTTCCTGTTTGGTTGCTGCTTTTCTTTACCGTTATACAACTCAGAGCATAGCCTAGGGAATGGTGTTATTCACAGTGGGCTGGGTCCTTTCACACTAGCTGACAACCAAGACAAGCCCCTCATAGGCATGCCCACAAACAAATCTTATCTACATGATTTCTCAATTGAGATTCTCTTCCCAGTGGACACAAGATTATCCACTAACCAGCACAATGCCTTCTGTTAACTTGACACACAAATATATCAGTTTAATCCATAACTTTCTACCCCTTGTCACCAATGTGTCAAGTTAATATCAGAATATAAAACACAGTCCAACTCCAGAAATCCCCTAAAGTCTTAAAAAATTCCAACACTTTAAAAAGTCCCAAATCTCTTAATTGTGAGTTCTTGTAAAACCAAAAACAAGTTATAAACATAAGCATTGTTTTTCTGAGAAGGAAGAACCCACACATAAAGAAAAATCATGCCACAGCGCACAGAAAAATGAGCAGTGCATGTACCAAATCTTGGAGCTCCAATGTCTGACATGTGGAGCTTGTATTCTAGGCTCCAAAGGTCTTGGGTAGCCCCACCCCTCCAGCTACGTCTTCTACAGCACACACAGTTTCTCTCGTGCTTAGGCCTGCTCTATTCCACATCTATAGCTCTCCTTCATAGGTGAGGCATAGTCATAGCATTTCCAGTATCTGGAATCTGCGTTGAAACTGAGGTTTCATCTTCACAAACGGCCTTTCAGGTCCTCTATGACCCTGCCACAAAGTGTCAAGACTCAGATTCTCTCCCTCCGTGATCACTTCATGCCTTCAAAACCAGTACCACGAGGAAACTTACATTTCCATATTCTGCTGCAAGCTCTAGATGTAGCTCAGTCCCTCTGGATCATAGCTAGATCAGTTTCTGTGCGCTGACCCTGAGAAAATGCTTTCAGTTTTTTCATTGGAAAACAATGACGCCCAAGAGGTTTCACTCCAGTAGTGCTGATCTCTTTGCCAATCACGGCTGCTTCTTCAGCCTCAGCAGGATCAACATACACAGATTTGTAGCCACAGTATCGCACTAATAGCCCTTATCTCTGTGCTACTGTCCCAGCGAGGCACAGGGTTTACTTCAGTGGTGCCAACCTCAGACAATCACAGCTGCTGGAATAGCCTCTATCCCAGTTAATGACAAAGTACAGTCTCTACTGTAATGCAGATTTACTCTCCCACTCCTGTCTTCCAAGCTCCCATGAGAATGACCCATTAAGCGCTGTCCACAGCACTTAGTGGCTTTTCCAGCTCAAAGTTCTAAAGTTTTCCATATGTCTCCAAAAACATCATGGCCAGGTTCGTCGTAACAACAGCCCCGTTTCCTTGGGACCAATTTCAGTTTTAGTTTCGTTTCTGTCACTGGGGAGAAAGGGGTTTATTTCAACTTACAATTCCTGGTTGAAGTTCTTTATTATGGGAAGTTAAGGAAGGAACTTAAGCGTCACATTCACAGTCAAGAGCAGAGAGAACAAAGTGCATGGAACTTGCTGTGTATGCTCACCTACCTTTCTTCACTCGTACAGTTCAGGGACCAACTCATGAAATGGTGCCACCCACATTCAGCATGGGTATTCCCGCTTCAATTAACAATCAAAAAATCCTCCACAGACATTCCCACAGACCAGTCTAATGTAGGTAATTCCTCAATTAAGGCTTTCTTTCCAGGCAAGTTTAGGTTGTATCATGTTGACAATTAAAGCTAATGAAAGCTAAATTGTTAAAGCTGATCATCGCAACATCTCAGACCAGACAAGCTGTTCAAACCAATATTATTTTGTTTCTCAGTGGATCCCAGGGATATGTAGGACACATTGCTATTCTCTGTGGTATCCATTTTACATGGTCAATAATGGTCCTTGTCATTATTATTTCCTTTCATAGAGGAGTGTTTTTCCTCTGATTTATTGTGACCAATTATCATTTCCCTACCCAAGTTCTTATGTTAGAACATACTTCTAGGTCTGACTCCGAGTTATTAGCTGGTAGAAAAAACAATCACTAGATTCTTCTGAGCACAATGACGCTCTTCAAATGATAAAGAGTTCTTCCTTAATTTATGTCTGCACAAGGTACTCCATAGCAAGAGTGACCCAGTTTCGGTAAAGGCTTTGATTGAATCCCTTAAGAAATGCAAGAGCTTTGTAGCAGTTTCTGGTCAAGTAAGCACTCTGAGGAATACCTTCAGACTTAGGTTTTGCTGACTAGCCCCAGGGAAGAAGAGATCCATGTTTTCCTAGGACACTCGGAACAGAGGTCTAACAATGCCTCTGTTCATTCCATTTTGGCTATTCCTTCAGTCATGTGCCAATCCTCTTTCCCTTGTAGAGCAATACTTAAACCAGAATCAAGAGAAAGAATGATAGAAAAATGTAGATGTCATAGATGTCAGACACAGGGAAAAAGATTTAAGTAGACTAAATTATTGTTGTGGTAAAGAAGGTAAAGAAGGATAAACAAAAATGTGAATTTTGCATATGTATAAATGGCATAAAGGGATTAAGTATATAAAGTTGGAGAGAAAAGGTGAGTTAGATGTATGATTACGATCCTTCTTTTCCTTCTCTGTACAGAAATCCCCACAAGTTTCATTGCTATCCACCTTCTAACTTGAGCTAGCCTTGATCTGATAAAAAGGACCAAGTCCCAAGGGCATGCATTAGTTTATTTTTTTCCTCAACTGTTTCAATAGGCTGATGCCAAAATTGCTTCATTTATTCAGCAGACAATTAGATCAAGGTTAGAAGCAGATGATCTTCCCTCTAGAGTCCAGCTATAGGAAAAGAACGTGACTTTCTACTTCATGATATTATCTTCTGGACAGGAGAGGGATTCTGCTCCCATGAACGCTCAACAATATGGTTGCCTGCACACTATGTACAGAGACCACACTAGTCGATATGCCAACATGGATGGAGGAAAATCTCACAAGGCCCCACTCCTAGATAAAGAGCTGTAGACAGACATTGGGTGCTGAGGGAGGGAGAATCAGTTTTTTTCTAGGATGAGCCCCCTAATCCTGAGTAGTCAGCCCTAAGCACATGTACATACAAACAACACTAATTGGATTTGGTAGAGGTTTGTGTGTGTGTGTGTGTGTGTGTGTGTGTGTGTGTGTAGTTATAAAAGAAGACATAGGACAAAGAAGTTGGGGGAGAAAGAAGAATGAAATGATATAAATACAGTGTACTCAAGAATGAACCTCTACACCTAAGATCCATGTAACATAGCAGAACAGGGGGTAGAGAGAATACTAATGTATCCCTCAACTCTCACCAGTGAAGTTTCCTCATATAACAGAGTGTGATGTGCAAAGGCCACAACTGGCCAGTTTAGAGAATAAGAGACTGCAGAGTGTGTGTCCATGGATAGGACCCCTATATTAAATCTCGCCCAACCATGGCTCAGAGACCATTGCAGAAGAGGTGGCAGGAAGATAGTAAGAGTCAGATTTGGTCCATGGACATAGGGAAACAGAGCTCTCAGGCCACTGGAAGCTTGCTTATGTGAACTTGTGGCAATGGTGGTCTTGTGCACAAGACCCATGCCGACTCAATCAGACAAGAGCCCAGCATGGAGTGAGGGAAATGGATAGCCCTAGCCTAGGAACTTTGGGCAACTGATTGCTGCTGGGTTGAGGGAGAGTAGATCTTCCTTAAGATCTCTAGAAAGGCTGACTAGACTCCAGTGGATAAACTTATACTGAGTATAAATGCTTGACCAGATAGCATTAATATATATGCATGAGGTCCAGTGGGGTGGGGGGGCTATGTGGGAGAATGGGGAAGGGAGTCTAAATTTAATTAAGAAGTATTGTATGACATCCACAAAAACTCAATAAAAATATTAAAAATAAAAAGAAAAACCATTAATATTTAGGTATTACTTAATAACTGAAACATATACAAAACCTACAGAAAAACTGTTAAAATTCACAAAATAATCTTTAAAATATCTATAAAGTGTAGTGAACATTAAATAAACTGTGTTTGAAATTTAAAAAACAATGAAATTCTCAAAGAAAAGGAAAAAAGAGCAGGCTTCTGAAGCCCCAAGGAAGCAGGAACATTGTGTGTGTGTGTGTGTATAGATCATAAAATGCATGAAGTCCTATGGGTGGCCTATGGGAGTGTGTGTGTGTGTGTGTGTGTGTGTGTGTGTGTGTGTGTGTATACCTGTCTGTTTGCTTCCAGGGAAGAGACAGGTTGATTGAAACTTGAACTTATGTTGTGAACATGTCCCTGCTTTACCACAGTTCTTTGTTCTGCTGCTGATTATTCTCCTTGCTGAAGTGACCTTGGCCATCCTGCTCTTTGTGTATGAGCAAAAGGTAAGTTGTAAGGAACATGACTTACTGTCTTATTGCTGAGAGTGGGAAGTGTGCAGTGGAGAAGAAAGTGGTTTTTAAAAAATACTGTAGTAGAAATATAAATGAACCAAAAGAGGAGAGATCCATTGTAGTTGAGGAAAGAAATAAATTGTGGTGAAGGAGGCTGTATTTGAGTAGTACCTTGAGAGATTACTGGAGAGCTCAGTGAACTAAGTTTGACTTCCTCCTGCATATTTTCCTTTGTGTATCTGGCAGTAGAGAATGCCTTCTCAGTGCCAAGTATGATTCTAGTTTTGGCTGCCCCCTTTCTTCTTTTGTAAAGCCATAGTTTTGGAAGGACGATGTCATTTATGTACATCTTCCTTCAGTGCCAGCTCATCTTCAACCTGTCTTCTGATACATGCCCTCCTCCCCACTTCCCTAGTTCTTGGGAAACAATTTGGAAAGAAGGAACTAGTTGGCCTACTAACCTAATTTATTCCTTGAATCAACCTTATTTTTACTGTTTTCTCTGCTGGAACATGATCTATACCAGCTGAATGAGTATGTGACTGAGGGGTTGACTGACAGCATTAAACGTTATCACTCGGACAACAGCACCAAGGCAGCATGGGACTCCATCCAGCCATTTGTGAGTACATACAGAATCCCCCTTGTATCATTCAGAATTCATTCACACCCCTAGTCCTTAGAAACCAGGATTGTTCCTGAAGTTTACAGACTCTAGATCTTCAGTCCTAAGGTCCAGAATAATGCCTTGGTTGCCACCGAGAGGAGAGTACAGGAGTCATTCCAATCAGTACAACATTTTCTATATTTTGTTTCATTCTTTACCAATTCACATAGACTCACTGCTTAATTCTGACTAGGGTGTGGAAAAGACCCAAATAGATCATATTGGATTAGATTATATATTTTAAAATTTTTTATTGAAAATTAAAGTATTAGAAGAAATCTCTTTTGAATTTGAGTTACCAAAATTATGCTTTTAGCTTAGCCCACCAGTGCCCTATTCCCCATGTTGTTCTCTACCCACAAGCATAATCAACACTCCATTCTTGTCTAAAACTATTGAAGGAAAAATATGGGCTAGGCAGGTATAGTCTATGTTTCAAACAGTGCCACCATGACTCATGCTGGATTAATGTGGAGTAGAAGAAATAAAATAGGAATTAGAGTGCAGAAAACAGAAGTGGGAGGTCTTGGGAAAGTCATTTAGCCTCTCTAGAGTCCAGGTTCTTTATTTAGAAGACATTTAAAAACACAGAGGAACATTTCCTCCATGCTTCCAAGCAAAGCCAGCCATGGTCGAGTAGGACCTTTGACTTATCTTCACATGGGCGGAACTGGTGAAAGAAAGGAACTGGGGCTCCTCCCAAGCCCATGTGACCCCTGAGGAACAGATCCTCAAAGGGCCTTAAGAGTGAAAATAATTTGGTTTTTCTGGGCCAACTGTAGAGTCTTAGACACCCAAAAGGAAAATATAACCAAATATTCAAGGGGCCAATATAATTTTTTAAGAGTCCATATGTATAGCTAAAGGCTACATAACACACAACAATGTCAGATAGGAGATGCCTTCTTTTGAGTTGTTGGCCAGGTTGGCCCAAGGGAAAATGAACAGCAGACCCCAATCTTATCTAAAGGAATATTGACAACTGATTTCTGCTAGATGAGGAACAGCTGACCTTCCTGAAACAAAGACCTCTAGATAGGCTGACTAGATTCAACGGATAGACTAGTGGGGAATGGCTGGGGTGCCGACAACACAGAGGACAGCAGCAGGGATAACAGAGTATAAAGGCTTTAGTTGGGGGGGGGTATGCATGGGAGGGTGCCATCTGGGAAGTGGGTGTATAGATGAGTAAGATGGTTTGGGATGGTCTGTGTGATACACACACACACACACACACACACACACAAATCAACAAA